TTTTTCCCTTAGAAAAACGTGTCCCTTAGCAAAAATTTTCCTTAAGCAAACAATTTCCCTTAGCAATTTTTTTCCTTTAGCAGAAATTGTCCTTAAACCAAAATTTTCCTTAAGCAAAACTTAGCCTTTAAGCAAAAAAAATCCCTTAGCATTTTTTTTCCTTAAGCAAAATTTGTCCTTAAGCAAATTGTCCCAGGACAAAACCCTTTACTGAACTGAGGACACCAGCACAGAAGAAACAATACAGATCTAGTTTTTTCTGACCTCAAAAAAATGCAGCACTCCAGTTTCCAAGGCAGACCTCAAATTTTTTAACTCGCCAGGCAAGACTCCCAGGAAAAAACCCTTTACTGAACTGAGGACACCAGCACAGAAGAAACAATACAGATCTAGTTTTTTCTGACCTCAAAAAATTGCAGCACTCCAGTTTCCAAGGCAGACCTCAAATTTTTTTAACTCGCCAGGCAAGACTCCCAGGAAAAAACCCTTTACTGAACTGAGGACACCAGCACAGAAGAAACAATACAGATCTAGTTTTTTCTGACCTCAAAAAATTGCAGCACTCCAGTTTCCAAGGCAGACCTCAAATTTCTTAACTCGCCAGGCAAGACTCCCAGGAAAAAACCCTTTACTGAACTGAGGACACCAGCACAGAAGAAACAATACAGATCTAGTTTTTTTCTGACCTCAAAAAAATGCAGCACTCCAGTTTCCAAGGCAGACCTCAAATTTTTTTAACTCGCCAGGCAAGACTCCCAGGACAAAACCCTTTACTGAACTGAGGACACCAGCACAGAAGAAACAATACAGATCTAGTTTTTTCTGACCTCAAAAAATTGCAGCACTCCAGTTTCCAAGGCAGACCTCAAATTTCTTAACTCGCCAGGCAAGACTCCCAGGAAAAAACCCTTTACTGAGGACACCAGCACAGAAGAAACAATACAGATCTAGTTTTTTCTGACCTCAAAAAATTGCAGCACTCCAGTTTCCAAGGCAGACCTCAAATTTTTTAACTCGCCAGGCAAGACTCCCAGGAAAAAACCCTTTACTGAACTGAGGACACCAGCACAGAAGAAACAATACAGATCTAGTTTTTTCTGACCTCAAAAAATTGCAGCACTCCAGTTTCCAAGGCAGACCTCAAATTTTTTAACTCGCCAGGCAAGACTCCCAGGAAAAAACCCTTTACTGAACTGAGGACACCAGCACAGAAGAAACAATACAGATCTAGTTTTTTTCTGACCTCAAAAAAATGCAGCACTCCAGTTTCCAAGGCAGACCTCAAATTTTTTAACTCGCCAGGCAAGACTCCCAGGAAAAAACCCTTTACTGAACTGAGGACACCAGCACAGAAGAAACAATACAGATCTAGTTTTTGTAAAAAAATGGCAAACTGTAGCAGCGCATCTATAGAGCTAGTCCCTTGGGCCCTGATTGTAATTTTGTAGGCACAGATGCAACTAGATTTTTTTTATATGATCGGACTGGGAGTGTTTGACAACATGCCCTGCCAAGACAAGAGGCAAACGTCCAGAGAATCTAGAGTCTCTAGAGTCTAGAGTTAAGCCGTGCAGAGCTGTCCCACTGCCAACTGTGACAAAGTTCGTGAGCAATGGCCGGTTCATCCAGGCATTTCATTTCCGTCATTTCCTTTTTTTAGCCTTGTTGCAGGGTGACCGGTTCCCAATTTGGACTTATGGTTGTGCAGTTTTCGTTTCTATGGTGCTCCTATAGAGTTATAATTATAACTCGATTATAATAACCTGTAATTATAACTAAGTTACTAAGTCATAACTTCTTAGCTAACTTTTCATATTTTTTTTTGCTATTGCTTGCTGCTGGTAATTTGAATATTTGTTTGCATGAGGCCAGGTATTTGCTTTTGCAACCAAATACAGATTAAGATTTGAAGTTTTGCTTCTTATATGTTCCTTTTGCCTTTGCTTTTGTATTTTGTTTTGTTTTTTTTGCATTTTTTTTTGCATTTTTTTTGCAGTTTTTTTGCATTTTTTTTCATTTTTTTTGCTTTTTGATTTGCTTTTTTTTTTTTCTGGTTGCTTTTTTGGTTTACATTTTTTTCACATTTTTTGAGGAAAAAAAATATTCCATTGTTTTATAGGATCTGGCTGGAAGCGGTGAACATAACCATAGAGTCTGAAGTGCCTGTGTCACCACCTCGAACTCAAGACTTCCCTTCGTCGCTGCCAAGATGTCCCTCTTCTCATCAGGACTGAGTCCAGCTGATTGCAACAACCGGAAGCCTCTCAAGACACCCAAGACGAAGCTGTCGGCCAAGGAGAACTCGTTGATCTCACCTTGAACTTCGCCTGCAGCTGATGTTCCAGGAACTCCAACAGAGCGAAAACTGACATCAGGTTGAGCACGTCGAATTGGAGACATACCCACAGAGCCTTCTGCAGCCGCTGTAGCCGTAGGTGACGCCGTAGGTCTCGCCGGTGAAGTAGGTGAAGCAGCAGCACCAGGAGGTTCTTCTTGTTCTGGATCATCATTTGCATCATACCACCAATCAGCCCATCCATCACGGGGAGCTTCTTCAAAATGTTTTGTCGTGTTGCTGAATCCCTTTCTTGTCCTCATACAACAGCAGGAGCGCCTCCACGAACTCTGAGTAGCCCAAGGCCTCCCTGACAAGGAAGTTGTTCATGGCTTCTCCAGCTTCACGTCTAAAGCTGAAGTACTGCTGACATGTTGCAGCAGCGTTCGGCAAGGTCCGCCTCACCAGTGGAGAAGCTGCCAATCTTTGTAGAAGATCTCGAACTCCATTTGTATGGTCAAATTCCATTGTAGTCCAGCTCATAGCCAATAGTCGAGCAGGACCACGTAGTTTCCCCACCAGTTTGGTAGCGCAGTACCTTCTTTTCTCAACTGGAGTGGCCCTCACATACCAACAAACCTCACGTGTATACCTTCGCCATGATCTTGCACTTCCGTCCCAAACTGGAACGTTCTGGTCCTTCTCAGATGACATCTCCTGAGAAGTGGTCGATGGCCAAAATGGCCTGCAAAGGATCCCAGCCGCGTCACTGGGGAGTGCAAATTCAAACTGGTAAAAGAGCTCGGCCAAAAGGTCGTGGAAGTTCAGGACGTAGTATCCCGCTTCGACCAGCCAAAAGGTTCAAGTCCACGCTGTAGCGCCGGAGATTCAAGTCACCTTCAATGACGATCTCAACAGAGCCAAAGCGTAAGGCCTGGAGCTTCTGCCCCGCTACCAATGTAGCTGGAGCAGGCAGTGGGGGTTATTGGGCTCAACCCCTATTCCACCAAAGTCCTTCAGGGCCTAGAGGCCGTAGGGGTTCTTCTCCACTTCCACCAATCGCCGCACCAAGCGCACAGAGCGCTGTTTCACCGCCAAAGGTCTCAGCGACCTGTCGCCATGAATTGGCTTCAACCAAGGAACTAAAAAGGGGCCCCTACCGAGCCAGTTGCAGCAGCATTCACTGCTGAGATGTGACCTGACATGGCTGGTTCAGTTGCAGGTACCTTCCAAATAGTCACAATATGGTACATAAATGGTACCCTCCCAATTAAACAGCCTAGGGGTTTATTAACCCAGGGTTGACATTATACTTCATGATGTGTTACCCTCTGGTAAATTAGCAAGAAACTATGGAAAATCACCATGCTATTAATGGGTAAATCAACGATTTCAATGGCCATTTTCAATAGCAAACTGTTAGTTTACCAGAGGGTGTATGATATGTTATATGTTATGCTGTATTTATGGGATTTACATTGATTTAGTTAGGACAAAAATAACAGTCTAGTGGTATAGAATGATATAGGTTTGTCGATCTAAAGGTCCACGTAGAGATTGACCATTACAAAGGCCGCCAGGGTTCCAACATGAGACCCAGTTTTTTTGAGTTCACGGAAGTTTATAATTTGTTTTGGGCGAACGATTTAGCGAACATCTATCTATCTATCTATCCTATCCTATCCAATCCAATCCAATCCTAATCTATCTATCTATCTATTTATCTATCTATCTATCTATCTATTTATCTATGTATATATAAGTAGTATACATCATGATATATTCATGACGTAAGGTTTAACATGATGTGATAAAGCTTGTGGTATTTCATAGCAGATTGTGGGAGTCGTTATCCGCGCGGGATTTGAACATTGTAACCATAGTGAGTTGGGGGTTTAACTGGCCAAACATGGGGAAATTGTTCAGGATATCACCCTCAAATCAACAGTTCATAAGGGGTTAGCAACTGTAGTGAGTGCACCCAGTTATAAATGGGACAAACCCCAGTCAATGGACTCACTAAGCAGGGCTACATACCAGCTACGGATGATCCTCCAAGTAATCATACAATCCTTTTTTGAAGGGGAAATCTGTGCGAAAAGGTTGTTCCAGCACCATCGCTAAAGTCTACCCTCTGGTAAACTAACAGCTTGCTATGGAAAATCACAATTTTTCATTGGTAAATCATCTATACATAGGCAAATTTACATGGCTAAGTTAGTCTACTGGAGGGTAGTCGGATTTTTGATGGAGTAAAAGAGCTCTTTGTATTTGTCTTCCAATGGGGTAACCAATGGTGAAAGCCTTGCTTAAACTGATTGATGAACACTCGATGTTCTTTGTTTTTGCACATCAGAGGAATACTTGAGAGGTTTTGTAGGTCAAATGAGCCCTCAGTAACCCCGTAGTTTAACGGATGAATAAATGAACGAACTTGCACAGAAACCACGGAGCAAAACAATGTCAGTTGCACTGTACCTCCCATTTACAATGTGGCCCCCCCAGTTATAAGTTGGTTTATAAATCCCATCAACTATAGTCATACGTATCATAAAACATACTTATTACCTGAAATCCCCCCTTGAAAAGTTGGGTCATAGAATTGGATGATGGGAAAATTTACAGGAAACCCCTATATTTGATGGTAAAAACCATGGTTTCCTGTAGATTTTCCCTTAAACCAATCCATTGATTGGGTGTCACGAATCTTCCGCCGACTTTTCCACCCAAGTTGGGTCCATCTCAGAACGGAGTCGCTGCGACGCCATGGCAAAGTCAGTGGCAGCTTATCACTGTGTGCAGGCAACGGGGTATCTGAGTGCCATGTGTCTTGGCCGACCTCCGATTTATGCTTTGAACAGATCTTCTATCCTTTTTTTTGGATTTAAGCTCTGAAAGAAAACAGGTAAACATTCAATAATTACCAAACAACATTCAATATCATTTATATAATATGTCATATCATTGGTCAGAAAAAATTGAATATCATGAATCATAACTAGAGTTATGATAAAATTCAAAATTCATTGAATCGTTCAATCATCGAATATTTTAGGTTTCACGACTTTTTTTCTTCGGCCGGACGTAGAAGACAGAACTTGGGATGATGGGATGAGATGATCTCGGGGTCGCAAATTCCACCGTGAAGATAACTCGGGTGGGTGAATAACTACACGAACTATTCGTATGTAATATAATATAATCAGGACCATAAGTCATGCCATATTCAGTCACCTGCATGGAACGACAAATGCTGAGCAAATGCTCAGGGACACACAGTATATATATATGTATAATCATATTATACAGACACATGGTATAATCACATATATATATATATGTCTATACATATAACCGACATGTCCTAATGGTATGTACATATTTTTCAGAAATCCATCGATGAAGCCGAGCTCCATGGATGGTTCATATTAGATAAAGCATCAAGTTACCCTCTGGTAAACTAACATAGCGAACTGGAAAGATCCACCATTTTCAATGGATAAATCCACTATTTCGACTGGGCCATTTTCAATAGCTAAATCGCGGGAAGAAAACGCTTTGGGATTGAACGTTCAGAATATTTGGGTGACAGGTCTGATTTTTCGACCTCACCAGCCTTTTTGACAGACATAGATGAGGATTTGGGAATCCGGGAATCCTCTTACCATATCGACCTCATCATTATTGGTGATCAAAAATGGCCTCATCATTATTCCAGCTCCACAAAGAGGCCGGAGACTTCAGAAGTTTGGTGGTGATTCAGCCATGGATCAAAGTTTAGTACCTGGCAGTAAAGGATTATCATATATAATAATATATATATATAATAAAATAAAATAAAATATAATATATAATATATATATAATATAATATATATATAATATAATTATAATAGTAATAATAGTAATAAGAATAATAATAATCATAATAATCATAATATACATATATATATATTGGTTTTAAAAAACGAGCAGTGAATCGGATGTCTGGAATCCTTGAGCCATGATTTTCTTTGAATATCTGTGAATGGGCCAGATGGCTTTGTCCTTTCAAATCCTGTGGTTTCAACTTCAGAATTTCAAAAATTGCCAACCAAAGTGAGGTACCCTCCAATTCTGGACAAAGCCAACTAACCCAACTGGTGTTTTTTTTTGGGCTTTTCTGCAAGATTTTTTGGGTTTATATAAACTCACGGCAGCAATGCTGAGGAACATGGCGGAACAGAATGGCACGCAATGCTCTGTAGGGGACTCTTGGTATCTCCAGCGGAATTGTTTTGTCAGGGCCTTGCCGGTAACGCTGGGTCAACCAGATGGGTGGTTTCATATTTTGTGTATTTTCTTTTGCTTTTCTGATGGGAATATACTTCCCAAGCAGCCAAAAGTGAATTTTTCTGCAGGTTATCTAAGAGCCTCGGTTTGCAACCCAAGGTTACCAAGATTGATTGAGGATTGGGATTGCGGTGGAAACTGCAGTTTTTGGAACCTTATTATACTTCAAAATGTCATCCGAATGCCCTTCAAAACGGCCGGTTGAGCTCATCAAAAGTACTGTAGCATTTGGAAACATTGTTTTTCGATATTGGTGTGGGAACCAATTGGACTGCGAACATCCTATAGCCACCTATTCTGTTCATGGAAAACCATGGTGGTACCAGAACGAAATGACGGCCATGTCACATTAGTCAGTTTCAGAAGTTTCTTTTCAGGATATAGAAGGCCAATGCCCTATTCGGGTCAGGTGAAAACAGAAAGCAACTTTTTGTTGCTTGAACCCCCCTTTCTTGCACCAAGAATCGCTGTGAAGCAACCTGAGCCCATCCCCAGTTCCAAGTTGATTTAGAACCCCAACTGCAGATATATCCACCATAATTATCAACTGAAACCTCCCGTAAAACGGGAAATTTCGTCTTGGCGCAGGTCAATGCAGAAAAATTAAAGTTGATCATATGTGCCATGGTCAAAGCTTGGGAATGGTCATCAATCCATGAATAGGGATTTATACTGGTTGGTGGTTTGGAACATTTTTGTATTTTTCCATAGATTGGGAATTTCATCATCCCAACTGTTACTCACTCCATGATTTTTCAGAGGGGTAGGGCGAAAAACCACCAACCAGTATATATATTCCATATGCATGTGATAAATCCGGATTCCCATTCTGGGATGGATGACCATTCATACAGCCTGCAACAGCTACTGTTTCATCACCTCGAGACATCATCATTCTCCAATGGCTAGCCAGAAAGGGGGCAAAATACTCCAACCCACTGGTAAACATACAAAAAGCGAACTGGAAAATGGCCATAGACATAGTTGATTGACCCATTAAACCTGGTGATTTTCCATAGTTATGTTAGTTTACTCCATTTTCAGACATACCCACATCAACAACTATCGTTGGACATCGCTCACGTTGGACATCGCTCGGCTCCTAAGGAAGCCTTCTTTGGTGAACTATCCACCCTCGAAACGGGCAGCTTCATTTTGAACACCAGCAATGGTCTCTATGTGCTTTGGACGTGCTTGATTGATGTGGACGGACGTGGGGAAAGTAGGTGATGATTGTGATGATTGTGATGATTGATGTGGGGGATAAAAACGTTTTCTGCCGTCATAGCTTCCTTTTAGAACTGTTTTTTTTGTGTTTGGGGTGGTTCGTACATCATCGTGGATCTTACATTACCTCAATCCAGTAATGGTTGTCAAGATTGTTATTCAAGAATTGTAATTGGTGAACACATTGCTGCATAAGTTGAGAAGTCAAGATAGAAATTACTTCATGACCCGTGATATGTGCCATGGTCAAAGCACAAGTGATTCCCCGGTAGGGGATTGCCATCCCTACACTACTGATGGTTGTGAAAATCCACCACCAAACCGATGGTTGAAACATCTTGAAAGCCATCCAAAATACTGGGGTTTAATAAACCAGGGGATACCTCTCCAGTAAACTACTGTGGAGGGAAGAAATCCACCACTTTGGATGGTTGAAACCCTATAAATAATGGGATGTTTACCATCTATCAACTGGTGATTCGGATTTCACTGCCCAATCCACAGTAGTAGGGGTCAATCCCACGTAACTTGATTGATATTGGATGTGCGCCTCAGGAGGTTAAAACCCCCCAAATTGGGGGATGTTAAAATCCTACAAACAGGAAGGTTTTAACCAACAGAAATGGTGGATATAAGCAATAAGATTTAATAAGACTGATTATAAGTGGTTCATAGACATGGTTGTGCTCCACTTTCGTGTTCCATGAATATGTCCGTTGAAGATGTTCGCAAACTCTAGAGGTCAACCATCAAACGATACTTTCAATAGTTTTGACTTATTGTTGCCCAACGGGCACAACTTGCTATGCAGAGCTGGGATGATTTCAGGAAATCAAACATACTCAATGGTACCCTCTGGTAATTTAACATAGCGAACTGGAAAATCACCATTTTTAATGGGAAAATCCACTATTTCTATGGCCATTTTCAATAGCTATGTTAGTCATTACCAGAGGGTAACTGAGAGATGGTATTATTTGAACCGCAGCCGCGTGGCATCGCGGAGCCCTTGCCAAGACCGTCTGGAAATAGTCCAGCCCCCACCATGAAGAGGCCAGGGGATCATGCACTTTCTCCAGGGAGAACAAATGTGCAACAGGTGAGTAGATTTACAAGCCCCAGGACACCCAGGAGTTCAGAGTTTCCAGCACGGGCTTCTTCGTCGTCAGTCTTCTTTCCATCTGCAGGATTTCCAACGCAGACTCAACAAGCTTCTACTTGGAAACGCTCACAATCAAGATTTACTGAAGAGCTCGCATCTCCAGGATTTGCCGTACCTGTTTGCCATTGGTATGTTTGGGCATCTGCAACCTTTCCTTTCATCTGCCAATTAGATGCTTCCATCTGCCTTTGCGAAGGCATATTTTGCACTGTCTGTTGGTGAGGGCAAGATTCCTTCGGCCAAACGAGTGAACACAACTCAAAACATGGATGTTATGTTCTGAGGTAAAAGACGGTTCGATGTCGCAGTACCTTTTTCTGGCTTCATGCCGCTTACTTTTGCAAATCTTATTCGCTACTTGTCATTCCGCAAGTCTGTAAGAAACACAATGAACAGCGAGGTGAATTCTCTGGAAACGTCAGCGAACGGCTGCAGCCACTTTTTAAGCTCCGGTTTGTTGAGGGATTACACTTGAATCACCTCACCATGATTTAGCGACCATCATGAATTGCATCATCATTGTTTGCTGCCAAATCTTGACGCATTTTCTGCAATTCTCCTGTGTAACTGAGAGAGGGGACTTCCAATATCAACCAGAGCTATGAGCGGCTTGGTAAGTGGGTGCCACATCCAGGCAGATTGATTCATAGGGGGGCCATCCCTATTGAATACCCAATATAGAGGCAAATCATGATAAATTGTATATGAAACCGGCCCCTATACTAGTTGGAAATCAGATGGATAGCTATTTGGTCCCAAAACAACCCATTTGCAAAAAACGGCCTGCCTAAATAGATAAATTTGTTCATAACTAGGCAGGCTAGGGGCAGACTCGCATTTATGGTGGATACATCTACAGATATCTTGTTTGTTTAAAACAACTGGGGGAAGCACCAAATTACTAAAATACATCTGGTAAACTCAGTCAACTCACTGACCCTCCCCGACCATCCACATGGGGTCTTCCACTAAGTTGCCAGCGAGCGCTTGCCAGGACTGGGGGGAGATACCAACAGAAATGGGGACGTACCATGGTTACCATTGACGCGAATTGAGTTTTTTTTTAACCCATGAATTAATGTTTTTTTTTTTGTGGTTCATGATTCATGACGCATGGATGCTCCTTGGTATAATTTTTTTGTCACGTATCATCCCTTGGAAATGGACATCTTGATGCCGAAACCCCAATTTCCCAATCCTTTGCTGCAGTAACTCTCATTTTTTTTGGTTTCATCATGTTTCATCCACATGTTGTTGATTTTGATGTGAAATCCAATTCCTTTTGGTTGAATGTGGTAACCTGGTGAAGTTGCAATTTTCTGTGAAGCGGAGTTAAATCTGTGAGAATCTTCAATTTTTTGCGATTCGATTCGATTCAATCCTTATGAACCTCCAATCAAAATCAAACATGGATGTTTCTCAAACCCCGGATTTTCGAAATTAGGCAGGGTAAATGGTGAAAATTAACATTTTTTATTGCCATGAAAATCCATGGTTCCAATCAGCCCCCGAAAAAAACGACAGTTCTTTCCGGTGCTCGGCGGTAGGAGCTCACCTGGATCTGCGTAGCGCCAAGTGGTGTGGCTTGTCGCCACTCCGCGAATGTGCACCTCGGTGAAGCGCCATGGGATTTCGTGGAATGCCATGGGATTTTAATTCTGGAAAACTATAAATTAAACATGGGTTTTTAGATGGTGACTTAACGACTTTTTACAGGATTTTTCATGAGCTAATGACATATCATGGGAATAATGGGGATATAGTATGATATATATTAGGATATTGACCAAATGAATAATTATTTACCAATATTTACCCATATTTACCCATATTTAATGGATATTTTCATGAAACTGGGGATTTTACCATTTTTCATGACGAATATGATGGAAATTCAGTGAATCAAAAATGCGGCCTTCGGCAGGACACATGGGGATATAGAATCGTCTACCCTCTGGTTATGACTAACAGTTTGTGAACTGGGAAATTGCCCATAGAAATAGAGGTTTACCGAACTTAAAAATGGGTGGATTTTCCATGGCGAACTGTTAAATAACCAGATGGTATATGTAATGTTTGCAGTACCACCATTGGGATTGAAACAACGAAGAGGTATGCGGATTGAAACGCATCAACAATACACCTGGGTATACCAGAAAAAACATAGTGCAGGTAAATGGAATACCAAACCAACCAGTTGATTTATTGTTGATTACCCAAAGAACATCCTTGAACCACCTTTGCGACCCATTCCTTGCCTCCACGTTCCGATCGCCGCAGTTAAGACCATGGAAACCTTCTTGGGGTTTCAAATTGACACAACCCCATATCTTTAAATCATAATATAGATGTGCACACATAAATCATATACGTTTCGCAATTGCAACCTGTTACCTTATTTTAATGTAGCCTGGCAATAAGGACCCCATTTGGCTTTGTCTTTGACGAATGCTCATTAAATGATCGATCATCATTCCTTGACAATGGCCTTATATGAATGGATACACCCTGCTTGGATGTGCACCCGAGGAATTGCTAAATAGAGGTATACCCTATTTCAATCTATTTCATAAACCTCTGCTGGGGATGGTTTATGATTTCTTTTGTTACATGACCATCCAATCATATCCCATGATGTGCGAATACCATGGGGTCGTCTCGACCACGAATACTGACCGCCGTTTGTACACGATCAAAAGTCCCATTTTGGTGGTTCATCCCACTTAGCAAGTAGATAGGTATATAGGTTGCTTTGCCCCACAAAAATTCAAAGAACTCCAGGTTTTACCAGGGTGAAGTGGGCCCCAAAACCAAGCATAACTCCTGGACCCCCTACCCCCGCTGGTAACCCACAGGGCCGACAAAAGTGAGTCCATGGTCCAGCACGGCAATCGCATCTCAGCCATCATGGCCCCGGGCGTCGCTGGGTGGTTGCAGGAAGCCGCCACGAAGTGCCGTGGCGTCCCGGTTTTTTGGGAGGTCACTTTTCCCGGGAAAACACAGGTGGGTTGTGGTGGGTTCATGTTAACCCCAGATTAATAAATCCCTGATTTGTCAATATGGAGGGGTTCCCAAAAATAGTCTGGTTTGTGGTTTGGAACATGAATGGATTATTTTTCCAATAAATTGGAAATAATCATCCCAACTGACTAATATTTTTCAAAGGGGTTGAAACCACCAACCAGTAACTATGTCCTTTTCTAAATGGTACCCCGAAAACTAGGGGTTTAGCAAAATCGGGGGTTGATATTGATCAAACATGGGGAGTCAACTAGGAAACATGGGGGAAACTATTGGGAACATAATGGGACACCATAATGGGGATACAACTGGGATTTATTTGAACATCATTATACATCATTTACAAATGAGTAGAATCAGGATATATATATATATATTCAGTATTTATTAGAAAATCATTTAAAATCATGATCATTATATATTATGTAATCAACTTGATATGAACATAATTGGGCGTGTCTTAAAATGGGGGATCGACCGCCCGAAATGTTGTTTTTTTTACTCGGGAACATGATGATCAAGCACTCAATTTATGGGATACTACAATACTACCCGTTTTTTTTCCCGAAGAAGCCCGAAGGATGGTTATATAATGATAGGGGGGATCATCTCCAAAAACGGGCCATTTGCACTGCACGGAGGACTTTTCCAGCTAAATCTCAGGGCCCAATTTTTGGGCAGGAAATAGTGAGGAATTCAATTTTTTGGCCAGAAAATAGGATATTTAACCAAGAGCAAACACATTTTTTTCTGATTTTTAGACGGTATGGAACTATTTTTGGATCGAAATTTCGGAAGTAAGGCATTCACAGTCTGAATTGGTGAGGTTTGTAGCGTATTTCTTGGAGGTTCAGGCTGGTGGTGCATGTTTTTTTTTCTTTTTCTTCTGGTCCTAATTTGTTACCCTCGGGTAATTTAAGGTAGCCATGGAAAATTATATATCACTTTTAATATGTAAATCATCATGAATCATCTAGAAACGGGTCATTTTCCATAGCTGCCATAGCTATGTGAAATAACCAGAGGGTTGTATTGGTTGCGCAGAAAATCTGCAGGAATCATATTTGGGTATTGAAAAAAAACCAGACTGACAGAGACTTTCCTGTCCAACCCAACCCATCGACCTATCTTTCAGCTCAGCTCCTTCTAAATGTCCTCCGCATTGACCATTGGAGTTGGAACATCTGTGAAACCTGGTTGAAATCAGGCCAGATGTGCAATAGTCTTGTTTTGATTTCACCTAACATGGTTGAACTCATGCACCTTTTTAGACTTCCGATCTCACCTAACATGGAGATTTTTGGATGCTACAAGGCAAGCACTCCATGATTCTGCTTGGATATGACGCGGCCCAGGATGTACGTGCCCATGAATCATCCAGCCACCGGTGATCCTCTCTTCACCAAAGTTGATGCCAACAATCCGTACCCTGGCAGCGACTGACGACTGACATCTGACATAAGATTTTCAAGTATACTGTAGTGTTAACCATTAACAGTTATATACCATCTGATATAACATTATATAACAGTTATATACCATTATATACCATCTGATATAACATTATATACCATTATATAACAGAATATACCCTCTGCGATATGTTTTTTTTTAATGATAGGACTAACATGGGAATTCAATCACTTTTTACATGGAGATGTTACAGTCAACAAATGGGACTGACCATCGATTTATGATGGCTTTATGTTGGTTTACGACTATAAGATTGATGGTGGATATGCAGTTGAAAGGGTTTGTAAACAAACTTTCAGAAAACTAGGGGTGGCATTTTTTTTTTTAAATCTACACATATGATCCAACTCCGAATCAACATTCAAAGATCTCAAACAGGTTGAAATCAGAGGATCTCCAATAGAACTGGGTCTGAAGGATTGGGACCCTCTGGTTATGACTAACAAACATAGCCATGGAAGCCATGGCCCATTTTTAATGGGAAAATCCACTATTTCTATGGGCCATTGTCCATGGCGAACTGTTAGTCATAACCAGAGGGTATCATTTTTTGAATCTTCGACATGACTCACATAGTTTCGTTGGACAGAAACAACTTCTAATTTTTATCTGGATGGAGTTCGATTCCAAGCTTGGTTCAACTTGGTATACTAAAATTTTGCAGCCGTTTAATTATGTTTAATTCACTTGTTTTTTGGAGGGAGGGGTGACCCTGATGATTACAATCAACCAGGGTTCATAAATAACTGGGATTGACTTTACGCAATATGAAGCCTTAGAATGTGCACTACATTCTCATGAAATGCTGCTTTGATCAGCACTTTTGTCAGTGAGATCCATGCTTTCTATGGATTCTGTGCCAACAACTTGGCCTCGGTTTGGTTGATGAATGCCTGATGCGAATGATACCCTCTGGTAATTTGTTACAGCTTGCGAACTGGAAGCCATGGCACATCGAACTTGTTGATTTACCGGTTTTAAAGATGGTGATTTTCCAGTTCGCAAACTGTGAACGTTTACCATAGGGCCATAGGGTAGACTGACAATGGACCTTTCAAGGTGAACTAATACCAGCCTTCTGGAGACCAGAAACCGCAAAAAGCCGCCTTGGCCATGATCATATCGAGTCATGTGGCTTGTTGGTTTCTGAGATCCCCACCTCGGCGAAGGTGACTCCCCTTTGTGGATAGCTTTCCTATAGAATATGATGATTTTACATTGCCAAGGATCATCATCTTTCGTATCAAAAATGGCAAATTTTAGGGTATGCGGTATACTCTTGGACGCACACATTTCCATTATTCATCAGTTAAATCCCAACTTTTAGTGGTTGAAGCACCTTTTTTCACCTTTGATAGTGAGACCATCATTTTGGTTCACACTTTCCTACTACCCTTGCTGTTGGGGATACCACCTGGATTCTTCAGCTGAGGCAGGTTGCCCCTGTGCAGGCTGCAACTTGGCGTGGCAATTTGATTCGTACCCATGGAAGTTGCTGGAAGTTACTGGTGAGAAAGTGGACATCCAATCAATACTCTCAAAATGTCGGAATTTTCGGATTCGTTTTTTTCTTGATCAATTTCTTCTTCTTGTTCTTCTTCTTCTTCTTCTTTCCGCTTTATCAGTGAGGTTTCTGCCATTTTCGGTTGTGAGATTTCATTCTTGGCCAAATCTCAATTTTCCAGGTGCTCATGGGGGCACCGCAGCAGGTGCAAGCGGGAGCAGGACAGGCTCTGGCTGCTTGTTGTGTGAACATCGCGGGTTTTTTCGTGGGGAATTTTTTTGTGAACTACCGGATTCATCCGAGACCAATTCCAGAGAAATCCAGAGGTTTACCCCGGCCTGGTAAACTAACAGTTTGCGACATAGAAAATGGCCATTTATAGTGAGTTTTCCCATTAAAAATGGTGACTTTCCATAGTTATGTTAGTTTACCAGAGGTTTAGATACCTCATTAACTACACATCATTATGGAAGCTTGTGGTATATGTTCTCACAGTGGCTGCTCAAAAAATGTCCAAGGCCATAACTTAGTTTATAATTCCATCGTCTAACAGCAGTTGTGATTACATAGATTTATATAGCGTAAATTTGAATTCATCACGTTGTAAACCAACTTACTTGTAGCTAAGTATGGATCACCACCTTGCAGTTGGGTTGATAGTCATCCCCTATATCCCCATAATATGTATATATATATCTGCACAAATTATAGCGAGGACAGCCGAGGCAACAAGGCAGGTTGCAGGAATTAGCGAGGTCAGCCCTTAATTTGCTCATCAGAATTAGCCGACCTCGACGAGGTAGCCTTGCATTGGTTCTGTTGCATGCTTGGGCTTGGCTAGAAAAACTTTTTTGGGGGCCAGAGGCCGGTCAGCAGGCAAGGAAGGAAAAAAAACTTTTCAGGCCCCAAAAAGTTTTATTTTCTATCGCCAGAGGCCTGCTTCGTGGGTTGACGGCTGCAGAAGCAGTAGGATTCAGAGTTGCTCCAGAAGAGCATTGCATCTCTGCGATAATGTCAGAGATGTCACCACCCAAGCGCAAGATGCGCAAAGACCGATCAGACTCAGATTTAAAAATCCCTGCAAGAGAACGTGGATCGTGGAAAAAAACTTTTCGGAAGCTGAACAGTTTTTTTCCTTGGGGTTGGACCCTGGAATGAAGGCCCACAAGCTACTCTACTTTCTTCCTTCGAATTAACGAGGTAAAGCCTTAATTTGCACCTGCAAATTAACGAACGAGGACAGTCATCATGGGGAACAAATTAAGACACGAGGGAGACGAGGTAAGAATTAAAGTAATTTGGCCAGATATATATATATATATTGTAAACTTGTAAACCAACTTACTTGTAGCTAAGTATGGATCACCACCTTGTAGTTGGACCACGGTGCATAATTCGCCGTTGTAAAATATGCATTTTTGACCATTGGAGGGGTTACGCTGGGGTGGGGTGGGGTGGGGGGGTGTATTAACGTTCTGACGACCACGTCCTTGATACTACGTCGACAAGACATGTCGAGGTAACTTGGAAGACGTTCTTGATGCTACGTTGATGACGTGGGGTGGGGTCGGGTGGGGGGGTGTATTAACGTTCTGACGACCACGTCCTTGATACTACGTCGACAAGACATGTCGAGGTAACTTGGAAGACGTTCTTGATGCTACGTTGATGACGTGGGGTGGGGTCGGGTGGGGGGGGGTATTAACGTTCTGACGACCACGTCCTTGATACTACGTCGACAAGACATGTCGAGGTAACTTGGCAGACGTTCTTGATGCTACGTTGATGACGTGAGGTGGGGTCGGGTGGGGGGATGTATTAACGTTCTGACGACCACGTCCTTGATACTACGTCGACAAGACATGTCGAGGTAACTTGGCAGACGTTCTTGATGCTACGTTGATGACGTGGGGTGGGGTGGGGTGGGGTGGGGTGAAAAAATTAATCTAAATAGTTTCTAGGGACCTACCTCGAACCATTGTTGTTTTTCTTTAGTGGGTGATATAATATGTCGAAGATGCAAAAAATAGATGCACTTTTTCTTTAGTGGATGATATGATATGTCGAAGATCCAAAAAAAAGATGCACATTGTTTCCCTGTGAGGTGCGAACCGCAATTTCCAAAAAAAAAAGATCCATGAAAATTTGGTGAGCAGCACAGTAGTTTACCCGCATTTTGCAGAAGAGAAAAAAAAGAGTTTTTGCCAACAGTCACCGCAAACGAAACAAATTTCCAAATGGAATTTCAATGATTTCAGCATCGCATGGAACTCATCAAATGGCCATTTTCCCTCACGGCGAAATATGAGCCGTGAAACTAGTTGGGTTAATAGTCATCCCCATTATATATATTGTAAACCAACTTACTTGTAGCTAAGTATGGATCACCACCTTGCAGTTGGGTTGATAGTCATCTCCATTATATATATATATTGTAAACCAACTTACTTGTAGCTAAGTATGGATCACCACCCTGCAGTTGGGTTGATAGTCATCCTCAAATCTATAATTATACATATAATTTAGAAAAAATATATATATAATTTATAATTATATATATATATTGAATTATATATTTATCCCATGGTATTTTCATTATGTCCCACTATACCACAATTTTTGGTTAAATCATCATCGAATCCCTAAATGTTGGTGAACTCCCCATCAAAATGCCTTGAAAAACCGTGATTTTCGCCTGTTTGTTGGTCAACCCCCCATTCAACTCTGAATGAACTCATTGATAGATGGTTCGATCCCATTAACCCCAGCATTTCTTCAGGTCTTCCCATAGCTTTCCCCATGTTTTCCCACGTTCCGCCACTCAATTTCCCATCCGACATCGGCATCCCAAATTCCGCAGGATTCCAGATCCAGGCGCCTCCCAACGTTCCTCCCGGCAGCATGTTGATCAAGGAGCAGAAACTCGCCCGGTTGGAATGATTTCATGGTGCTTAATGGTGGTGAATGGTGGTGAATGTACAGGTGGTTGGTGGTTGATGATGATTAGTACTGGTTTAATTAAAAGGTTTATATAATGGTGTTTAGTACTTAATATTACCTAATGGTGGTGGGTACTGGTTAATATAGGTGAAGCAAAAACCATTAATGGGGTTATTTTTTAAAAGCCAGTACTAAGCCAGCTTAATGGTGGTTAATGGTGGTTAAGCTACATCATTAACCAGTACTACCCTTAACGTTGTTGCTTAATGGTTTTCATGCTGGTGAATGTGCTGGTTTAATGGTGTTTTTCATGATAGTCACTCCTGTTTCATGGTTTTGAATGGCAAATAATCAACTGGTTGGTGGATTTAATGGTGATTTAATAGGGATATTAATGGTGATTTAATGGTGATTAACCCTCTGGTAATGGAATATTAATGGCTGGTTGGTGGTTTGGAACATTTTTCATTTTTCTATATATTCCCCACCTGCCAGGTGAGGGTTGTTAGATTTTATCAGAGTTGTTCTTCTCCTCCTCGGCTAGCTCTTCCCCTCCTCCTCCTCCTCCTTCTCCGCCTCCTCTTCTTCCTCCTCCTCTTCCTCCTCCTGCTCCTCCGCCAGTTTCGCCTCGACCATGTCTGCATCAACTTCCACCTCAACTTCCGCCTTGCCAACTCTTCGCCAAGCTCTTTGCCAACTTCCCAGCTCAGTGTGCACCGCTGGGCCTCAACCTGGGACCTGCCCAGCTCAGTGTGCACCGCTGGACCTCAACGGCCAGATAGAATGCCAGAAGAGATGCCAGATAGAATGTCAGATAGAATGCCAGAAGATATGCCAGATAGAGTGCCATAAGATATGCCAGATAGAGTGCCAGAAGATATGCCAGATAGAATGCCAGAAGGTATGCCAGATAAAGTGCCAGAAGGTATGCCAGATAGAATGCCAGATAAAATGTCAGATAGAATGCCAGAAGATATGCCAGATAAAGTGCCAGAATGTTTGCCAGATAGAATGCCAGAAGATTTGCCAGATAATATGCCAGAAGATATGCCAGATAGAATGCCAGAAGATATGCCAGAACATATGCCAGATAGAATGCCAGAAGATATGCCAGAACATATGCCAGGTAGAATGCCAGAAGATATGCCAGATAGAATGCCCGATAGAATGCCAGAAGATATGTCTGATAGAATGCCAGAAGATTTGCCAGTAACAAAATGTATAAATGTTATGGTGGGGATCACACGAAGTAAAGTAATTGGGAATAATAATCCAAACTGGCTTTCATATTTTTCAGAGGGGTAGGCAAACCACCAACCAGGTAAATAATCAACAATGGCAACATATGGTCCATGACTACAAACAAATGCTGGTGAATAATGGTGGTTAAGAATGGTGGAGCATACCTTTCAATGGCTCATTTGTTGTGGCCGGTGTTTTCCTGCTGAGGGAGACGTTGATTTTCATGTTTTTTTTCAAACAATCTGAGGATTTAAACGGATAGAACGTATGGACTGGGAATGGCGTTCTTAACCAACCAAGTTTAAAGATGGAACGGGTTGAACACTGTTCAGTTGAAATGTGTTTGTCCCGAAATAGATAGACATAGGATGACATAGGGCCTACCCCGAAATTGTCATTGTACCCTCTGGTAATCAAATCCGCCATTTATAGACGACTTCCCCAGCTAGAAAATCCTGATTGATAGATTATTTTCCATTGCCATGTTTGAGTACCAGAGGGTCAACATCCAAATATATCATTGGTTGTATATCCATGATATTTTCATGACATTCCCTATTTGGATGGTTAAACCCTCATTAAATGAGGACCAATTTGGGTTGTAAAACCATGGATCCTCACCCCGATGGGAATTCAGGGCTCATCGAAGGATTTCTGTGGCGACGACGCTTAAAGTGACTGGTGTATGGCTATCCAATCTATCCAATCTAGCATACACCCAGTGAAGATAATGTATTACAGTGTATGTTCAACCCTCAATCCAAGCTATCCAATCTATCCAATCTACAGTGAAGATATCTCTGATAAGTTGTATGGGTGATTTTTTTTTCACCATCTTGATGGAGGACGGTAAGCATCATCTCCTGTCTACACCCTAGCTTTTCAGCACAAGCTACTGTGGCCCAGGTACAAAGGTAATCAGACCATGAAACTTGGGAGCAAAAATCGGGGACCGGATGGGTTTGTTTGCCGGGGGTCTTCCCCACCCAAACGGCCAACAGTTGCAGCCTGATTCACCAGTGGCTGCTGGGCTGCTCCATTGACACAGTGACAATGCCAGCTATGATCGGCCACAATGACGAATGAACTAATCTCTTTGGGCGAGAAATTGCTTGTAACTCCACGTTTTTCTGAGTTGCAAGTGAGACGATCGCCAATATCGATTGAGGGTTGAACATACACTGTAATACATAGCTACCAGCAATTTTGATATGAACCACAGGATAGCAAGGTTTTGACTATGAGAGTGTTTTTTTTGGTGGGTGTCTTCAGGTAGAATTGTTCGACAGTTGGTGGTTTCAAAGACGTTTTACCTTAAGGCAATCCAACAGTTTGCTATGGAAAAGCACAATTTTTACCAGGAAAATCATGCGGCAACGGCCATCGATACCATAGCTATCGCAATCGCAATGAAGCCCATTGAATCCCATCCCAGTAGACTCCCCGGTGAGCTGCTTCATGGGTCATTCTTCGGTGTCGAGTTAGAGAAATATGACATTGCTGAAAGACGTTGTGATAATGCGACCTTCAAGATCGGCCGCCATTTCTGAAATCGTGCTTGGGAAACTTCAATCTTTGATGAACAGCAAAACTGGACAGAAACGTAGCAGTTGCAGTAAATCGTTGAACTCCTACAGCAGGCTTGATGTTTTAGACATGGATTATTTCCTTAAAACATGATGTTTGAAATTGGGTTCATAGATTAGTAGCACTAGTATTTCTGCTATTACTATTGTTCCTATTTTGACATATATATATATAGTCTCGATATTAAAAAATGCTTATCATTAATCATACTGCCTAATTGATTATCATTTTCATTCATCCCATTGTTAATTGACTATCATAATTATTGATTATTGTACACAGATCCAGGAAAATTATTGATTGTTGATTATTTTTTATTATTAATCAACTATCATAAGTATTGATTATTGCACACTCACAATTTCGTTTTTCTTTTTTAAAAACTTTTCATTGTAGATTATTATCATCATCATAAATATCACAACAAATCAAATATCATAATTGATAATTAATGATTGATTGTCGATTTGTGACTATCATAATTTCACGTTAGAAACCATACAATATGGGGAAGCCATCATCTATAACCTCCTGGAAATACGGCTATCGGCATTTTTTTTTTGTTCAGATTGTAGTGTTGAATCACCATTCATCACTCATATTCCAATGATACTGTGGATGGAAGAAATCCTGCACCAGTTGGCAATTATTGGTAACTATGAAACACTGTAAATAATGGGATTTTTTTGTGGGGATAAACCGTCTACCAACTGGTGCAGGATTTCGCTGGCCCATCCACCGTTGTCAATCATATTCCATTGTGATCATCTATAAGTCTGTAAGTTTTTTTTTTCCATTTATATTCCGATGGGTTAAGTCATAATGTACCATGTTTCACCCATCACATCCGATTTCTCTAATCATCATCCCATCGTGGTCCACGTTTCGTCATCCCATTGTATTGATGCCAGGATTGCCCAGAAGTTCGACATTTTTTCCCTGGCGTACTCTTCTTCGCACTAATAACATAGCAATATAAAAATATATAACATAGGAATCCAGGCATCGATATTTCTTCGGCATAAAGTAATATATGTATTGATTTAACATTGAATTATGTTATAACCAGTACCCTCTGGTTATGACTAACATAGCCATGGAAGCCATCACCATGCTATTAAGAACGGTAAACCATCTATTTCGAATAGGGCCATCGAAATCCCATGGCGAACTGTTAGTCACAACCAGAGGGTAAATCACCATCAAATCACCATTTATAGTGGTTAAATCCCATTAAATCCCATTTAATCACCATTAAATCACCATAACCAGGTTGGGTAACAGTTACCCTTAACGCCAACAGTACCAGATGGTAATATTTCCATAATCCAGGCATCGATCTTTCCAGTACCATGAATTCGTCGGCTGGATGATGCTCAAATCCAGGCTTCGTCAGATGTTCGTCCAATCCTCGTCAGATCGTCCAGATGTCAGGATTCTCACCATTTTTAGGAGTTTGGGATAGCTCTCCATCAAAAAAGAAAGAATGATATAGATATATATATAGATATATATATAGATATATATATATAGACATAATATGATATACTCTCTGGTAAACTAACATAACTATGGAAAATCACCGTTTTTAATGGGAAAATCAACTATACATGGCCATTTTCAATAGCAAACTGTTAGTTTACCAGAGGGTAATGTGGGTAACATAATAACAAACCATCCCCCAGTCATTGTCATAAATAGGTGGTATGTTTACCATTCCCAGTCATGGGTAGTTTATGACATTGTTTTAACCACATTAATGAAACACATATTCATGAAATATTCTGGAGCTTTCCCTAATCAATATCATCCAATCATCCAGCTATGAAGGGATACCTCCATACTGTGGATGGTTGCGAAATCATCAAATCAGCACCAATTTTGGATGGTTTTTCAACCCATCCATAATCATGGGATTTGATAAACCACCGTTTTCAACTGGTGATTCGGATTTCGCTGCACCATCCACTATGAATCAGTTATGATATGATGACCTTTAATCATAGTATCATAGCATTTCATCTATCATAAACACTTTTTCAAGATAGATTCTAGATGATTAATGATGACATTATATATATATATATATCATATCATTTCATGATATCATTTCAATCATGATATATATATATATATATCCATTAGTTTTATCCATAACTATCATTTCATAAAGCCTACCATAAATCATGATATCACCACCAGTTCAAATATCATATCATAGTTTCATATCATTTCATATCATAGTTTCATATCATTTCATATCATAGTTTCATATCATTTCATATCATAGTTTCATATCATTATCATATCATAGTTTCATATCATATCATATCATATCATAGTTTTATATCATATCATATCATAGTTTTATATCATATCATATCATAGTTTTATATCATATCATATCATAGTTTTATATCATATCATATCATATTTTTATATCATATCATATCATAGTTTTATATCATATCATATCATAGTTTTATATCATATCATATCATAGTTTTATATCATTTCATATCACAGTTTCATATCATTTCCTATCATTTCATATCACAGTTTCATATCATATCATATCATAGTTTTATATCATATCATATCATAGTTTTATATCATATCATATCATAGTTTTATATCATATCATATCATAGTTTTATATCATATCATATCACAGTTTCATATCATATCATATCACAGTTTCATATCATATCATATCATAGTTTTATATCATTTCATATCACAGTTTCATATCATTTCATATCACAGTTTCATATCATTATAGGAAAACCCCACATTTAATGGTAAAAACCATGGTTTCCTGTAAATTTTCCCTTAAACCAATCCATCTACAAACAGTTCTTGGACGTTAGGATCCTCCACCAAGGATCCTGGGCGTCGTTGGCTGTCTCCTCTGTGGTCCCTGTGGCCTGATCGTCTGCTGTCTCGACCTGGACGAACGCCAAGTCTGGCGGGCACCGGATGGCAGACGGTTTTCGATGAAAAACGAAGACGGTGACGGTGGTAATCTATGGGATTTAATGGGAAAACCATAGGAAAATGGTGGTTTAATGGGATTTAATGGGATTTAATGGGATTTAATGGGATTTAATGGGATTTAATGGTGATTTACCCTCTGGTTAGTCTATGGTTAATCTATGGTTTATGGTTGATAATGGTTAATATATGGATAATCTATAGTTAATATGGGTGAAATTTTGAGAACTTACCCTCCTTTATAGGGTTTCAACCATCCTTTTGGTGGTGAATAAGTGGGATAAACCCTATTTTTATAGTGGGATAAACCATTATAGTTGATAGATGGTTTACCCTCTGGTAAATTAACAGTTGGACCCTGAAACTGACCAATTTATAGTGGAAACTAGTCTTTCAACCCCTATCTGGCAGGGTCTATGTTAATTTACTGGAGGGTATATGATGTTAGATGATGATATTTTCGGAATATTCACAATCATATATTGATATATGTATATATATATTTATATGGATATTGTGATGTTGGGAATATCATGGCATATTGTGATATGGTATCTATTTTGATGTTCATATTCCTGTTATTGATGTTATTTTTAAGATATTTTGAGGATATAGCATGCTATAGCCACGTAAGACATGGTTCATAAAGATCTATCATTCGGGATTGGACTATCAGATATCACACATCGGAGCCCAAGGATCCCCAAGTAGGGACTTGGTTCCGATTCAATTCCACGAAACTTGGGCTATTTTCAGGGTCTATGTTAAAACAACGGGACGGTAGGTTTCGAGTCCCATTTTGTCGCCATGAAATTCCCATGATCTTTCATTAAATCAGCATTAATGTCAACCCTGGATTAATAAACCCCTAGGTTGTTTAATTGGGGGGATACCATTTAAGTATCAGATTATGACTATTTGGGGAGTACCCCCCTAATTAATAAACCGTGGTTTATGAATCCGGGGTTGACATTAAATACCATGAAATCATCGTGTTTACCATGATTGGTTTAGTATTTTAGTATTTTCCAGTGTTTTTTTCCAGGGCCGAAAAAAAAATCGCCCAAGAACCATCGCGACCGCACGAACCTCGCGAGGAAGTTCGACATGTTCGGTCAGCCAATCATCGAGTAAGGCGATTCTGCCCTGGTTGGTTGATGATGAGTTGGATGAAATTCGGAAATTTCACCATGAAACTCTTGGGATATTCTTGATATACCCTCTGGTGAACTAACATGGCAATGGAAAATCACAATTTTTATTGGGAAAATCCACTATAAATGGCCATTTTCCATTGCTATGTTAGTTCACCGGAGGGTAAGTGATAGATGATGGTTGATGATTACTTCGGGGACTATATTCACCAGTCATTCAGGATGATCATAGGGCATTGATTTTGCAGTGATGGCCATTTTTTTCATAAGGAACCTGATTACTCTCTGGTAATGACTAACAGTTTGCTATTGAAAATGACCATTTATAGTGGATTTTCCCATTGAAAATGGTGATTTTCCATAGTTATGTTAGTTTACCAGAGGGTAATTGCTTTCCAATGGTATTTACGGGTAAATGCATAGATAGAACTGACCAACTTGATGTAATCTATCGCTGTGGTGGAGAATGGGATATATCCTGCCCATACAAGCGACAAGACGTGGTGTTTTGTTTCCAACAACAAATGTTGGGATTGATTCATTGTTAGGAAGTGAGTTCTTTCCAGTTTAAACCACAGTTGAGTGAGATTAGATATCAAGCTGTAATATGATCATTCCACTCTTAACTGGTTCATTTCAAATTCGGTGAAGATGTCCCATGAATTATATCCTCCAGTGGGGGGTTAATCCTGACCATAATGTGGTTCCACGAAGTGTTTTGCGAAACAGCTACACCTCCAGTGACAGCGAGAGTGACATCCTGTTGCTGGGGTCCCATTGAACAGACCCCGGAAAAAGTGGGAACAGTATGGAACAATTGAACAGCAACCCCCAGATCCTAAAATCATGGCAATTTGAAGCTCACAACACACACAAGAGCAATCACTGCCGATTTTCTCCGGACCCATGCATGTGCGGCGCGAATGCGCCTTAAGCGACGTCCTAAACCCGAAGAAACTGAGACGGCTAGCGGAAGGAAAATCAGCCTTCAAGACAGGAAGGACAGTTTTAGTCTTAAACATAAACCTTATGACAGCAATTTCGCAAACAACGATCGAGAAAGGTCAAATCTTCCCAATAGCACAATGGCAACACATTAGAGATCTAGAAATCCATCCCAGCCATCATTCGCTGAAAAATACCTCCCACTCACATTAGTTCCAGAATATGCGACTTCAAAAACTTCTTACATACAGCGGCAAAAACCACCGTGGCTCCAGGGGCAAGGATTGGGATACCTGACAAAGATTCCCAATACCATGCTACATCGCTGTGTGAGATGTGAATGGTGTACCACGCCTGAAATAGTTCTAAACTCCGAGTCCAGTAATGGGGAATAGGAAAAAAAGAAACCGGTTTCCAGACATGAACAAAATAGCCACAACAAAACCCAAATAACCAACATCCCACACAGATAGTGATGTTTCAGAACTGAAGCTCTTTCAACAATGCTGCTGCCATCTTAATCTTTGCAGCGATTCGTGTGGGTGGTGCCTTCTGGCCATATCTGGTCAAAAAAACGTCCAACCGTTTGCCCGCTGGCTTTACAGCTTGCAGCTGCGACTCGACTGCCCCTACCGTCAAAGGTTTGTTACCAAAATTGACAATATGCCCAAATTCCGCTTCTAACAATTTCAAATAAGCAACAGAGATCTTATCAGACTGAGCAGGCTGGGGTTTTCCCTTACCTTTAGGCTGAACTTGGGTCTTACATTCCTGCTGGGGTAATGGGGGAATTTCAAGACCGCTGCTTTGGGCAGGTTGGATCTCTGGCGCCGCAGCTGGAGCCGGAGGGGAGACTACAGGTGCTGGCTGTTGCTGAGCACTAATCTTTTGACGTTCTCTCTCCTCCAGGCATAAAGCTAAGGCTTGCGCTTGCAAATGTCTCTCCTGCCAAGCTGCCGCTTCTTGTTTTTGTCGCTTGTATTCTTCATATCCAGGTGAGTTTTTGGGCGGCTTCTCAGCAGATCTCCGTCGATGACGGTCAGGGGTCCTAGAGTCACTAGAACGTCGGCGACGTCGTGAGTGAGACGATCCCCGGCGATCATGGCCATGGTCATAGTAATCATACTCATAAGAGGAACGGTGGGAATCTTTGTGGGAACGACCATCATATCTCCTACCTTGGCCTTTGGCCTCACGTTGACCTTTTCCTGCTTCTGCTATCCACGTGCCAGCTTTTTCGGGCTCAATTTGAAGCTTCTGCTTCTGCTCAATTTGAAGCTTTTCTGCATCTTTTTCGGGCTTACTCTAGCTAATGAAGATCGCATTCATGACTATTTAACGAATTCTGTTGGCGATATATTGGCGCATTTCGTCCAGTATGTGTTTTTGCTTAATACTTATCTTTGGCAAAGCCATATGACAATCGCAATGAGTGGTGATTTAGCTATGGAAAATGGCACACATTTCTCATCTCGGGCTCCATTCGGTCCCCTCAATGCACTCGTGAACCATGATTTTCCAATGAGAATGGCAACTTTCAGGGGGTATATCCTCCAGACAACTCCGTGTACAACACATGACGAAGGCACAGAAAACACTCCTTGCTGCGCATGAAAGAATTAGATTTAGATACTGTAAGTAGTTTCGGACTGACACAGTAAGCATTGCGAAATCGGATTTTGAATTCATTGTCACATTGTCACTGGTAGTATTCTTCATTCTCCAGCAAAATTATCATAGTTGCTGGTTAACCGTTAACCCCTCATGTTTATGCTGGTCAAAGCCACATCTTTGCGGGTAAAACCACCAAATTCTCGCTGGAATCCCCACCTTTGAACCGCGTTCCTCGTCAGGTTTGCACACCAACGCATGCACCACTGACTGAGGGCTCGGGCCGGCAGTTCGCAGAGTTTTTGGACTCAGCACATAGATCAAACATGGAGAGCTCACCATAAAAAACACACACACAAATATAGAGTATAGAATAATACTACAATACACATCCAATACAAAAAAAAGTATATCGTAATATGACTATCATCAATGACATTATATCCATACGAGAATTGGGATGTGATTAGTATGGAATATACAACCAACTTGAAATGAGCTGAAACTTGATTTGAACATATATGAACATGGGTTATACCGTTATACCCCCTCAATATATGGCCACTTCAATAGGGAGTCTAGTTTGTCTGGAGTGGTCAATAGGGGGTATCCACTTTTGACGGTTCTATGGGGAGATGAAACACTTTGTTTGAAGAACATTCTTGCAGGGTATCCCAAAAATTGGCCATGACAATGAGCGTTTTTCACGGGATTAATAGGTTATAATGAGCTGTCAGTAGGCTTTGAGACTAAACTGGGTTTGTTTTTGACCTGTCACCGTGTCAATGATCACATTGAAAAAGCCATCCAGTAGTTTGACCAATGGAAAATCACCCAGAAGGTTATCATCCCATATTTTTCCCATTACCCTCTGGTAAACGTTTACATAACGATGGAACATCATCATTCTTCATGGATAAATCAACTATTTCAATGGCAATTTTCCAGGTCGCAAACTGTTAGGTCCTTAGGTCATATTTGATGTTCCAGAGCTAATTCAACCGATCTTTCGCCAGGCTTGAAGCCATATGGCTTTGATCTTTGGATTCAATCCCCATGGGGCCAACTGACCTTGATGGTCAAACACGTGGAATCCAGTCGACCCCGAGGTCGAAGCCCCACTGAAACGTTGGGAGCTAACTACGATGTCACACTGCACTGGTTGGTGAAAAGTTCATAGTTTTTCATGGTTTAAACACCATAGCCATCTGGAAATACCCCTATAATCCCATCCCATCCGTTCATATTAAACACCCCGGTTCAACGAAACCATGGTTTTTTGTTGGGAATTTCCACATTTCATTGGAACCATAGAAGGGGGGTGTTTTATATGAACGGGGGGATGGGATGATTTTTTAGGCTGGGGATCGGGGGCTGATGAATCACTGTTTTTTGCACAATCAATGATTGTAACACCAACCAGATCCCCTTCGAGAAGCAAGACTTTCGCGGGTGGCACGTCAGTCGTGTCATCGCGTGGAAGGGTGCACTGGGAGACGAGGGGTAGGGATGTTGATGGAGGTGGTTGCTTTGAAGAAGCGGCAGCATGACGTAGTTTTTCTTCCTCTCTCTCTCTCTCTCTTTCTCTTTATAATATATATATATATACAAAGCTGCTCACATATGTATCTGTATATGTGTATGTATTTGTATATGCAATGTATATGTATATGTACACGTACATGTATATGTATAGGTATGTGTACATTATATGTAGATATGCATATGTATATGAATATTATGGTTGATGTAATTTTGACTATGAATATGCATCACATGTATCATTATATTTATGCGTGTAATGTATGTATATATGTAATGTAACGTATATTGATGCATAGAATAGCTGCTTAAAATGATGTATAAACATATATTTCTGAGGTGTCTACAGCTGCTTCAAACGACCTCTTATTACATGTGGATCAATCATGCCAAAAATGGCCTTGACTAAGAGATGGGACAACAAAGGCTATTCATAATTCTTCTGGAGCTGTTGGGGTTGGCAATTCCACTCACATTCTTGTTTTCAGGCTATTGATTGAAGATATTGAAGTGACCCCACAGATTAAGTATGATTATCAAAATTATGTTGCTTCACCACGCTTCACCGATTGGACAGTCATCTTCAATGAACTACTAATCCCTCTCGACTCTTTTCAGGCCCCCGATGCGGTGGCTTGTCGCACCATGCTCTGGCGGTGAAAAACATCGGGAGAGCCGCAGGGTTGTAATCCAACCGAAACGATCATTGGATGGAAATGGGACTGGTGGAGCCAAATGTGTACCAGATCATTCATCGTCTCTGGCTTTGAAAAATGCGAATCTTCTTCTTCATTTGGCGTTGAAAATATCTTTATTCACCCACATCCGATCATCATTTTCTCAATTTTCAAGTAGCCATATTTCGTGGAGTTGCCCATTTCGACATGAATCGAGACTCCTGTGTCATCCCCTATGGCCCAAGGGTCATGGACGTTCAGTGTAATTCCGATCCAACAAAAACGACGTGGGCTGCAGTGACCTAGTTTCTCAGTGGGTAAATGGTCATAGAGACGAAGAATCCCCATTACCCTCTGGTAAACTAACATAGCTATGGAAAATCACCATTTTTAATGGGTAAATCAACTATAAACGGCCATTTCCAATAGCTACGTTAAATTACCAGAGGGTATTACAGTATTCCTTTCAAATCCTCTTAGAATCCGAACATTTCATGGTAACATCCAAATGCTTTCCCATAACTCACAATTTGCGTGGATTGAATAATCACGTTTGTTGCTTAACATCCCACTAAAATCCCATTATACTCCCATTTCTTTTCATGGTTGACGTCCCTCCGTTCTGATTGTATTCAACTTTTAACAACATGTCATTTTATAGTAAACCTTAACATTTCTTTGATTTTCATTATAAATTTCAAACATTTTCTTGCTGAAACCATAATTTGAGTCCCAACTACTCGTCGCTAGGAGTCTGGTATGCTGTCGAGGCGCGTTTTTTGCCATCAAAAATAAGGATTCGAAGATGGAGACAGGGGATACACTGGGATTCTTCACTAAATTAAGCATCAAACGATGGAAAACACATGGGGAAATGGGTAAATACACCTGGGGAATGGCTGGATTTCTCAGTGGTCCATGACAAAGTGGTCCAGGTGGTCCGAATCCCCAATGATAGGATCATCATCTACCCATATATACATATTATATTCATTTTCATATACATCTAGAGCAACCATATTGATTTGTATATACTCACATATAAATATATAGACACATTATGTATCATATACATATATAATATATAATGTACGTATATATATATATACAGTATACGTTTGGGACATCTGATTTTCTTGCTGGTTTCGGAGTACCATTTTTTTGCAGATGAGGCTTTAAAGATTGTTCGCAAGGTTGCGACGGATGTGTGACGGTCCCCGAAAAGGCCAAACAAATAGATTAATTTTTCACATAGCTATCGAAAATGGTCCATTTATAGTTGATTTATGTTGATTTACCTATTTATAGCAATGTTAGTTTACCAGAGGGTATTTGCCAATCAGCATCAAATTTTTACTTTAATCTCCTTCATGGGTTGCTAGAAAGAGAGAATAGCAGGTTTTGACAAAAGCACATTTTAAATGCTTCTTGGATTCTGATTTCAATTTCGCAGCTGGCAATTTTTTAGATCCAAGCGAGTTCTTGCGGCAGGCTGGAAACCAGCGATCGTCAGGAATGATGGGTGGTCGAAGTGCGGAAATTCAATAATTTCCACATGTCCACTTATTATCCCATTATTTGTGACTTTGATAAATCAATAAAAAGCGATATGGATGTGCATCCCAGGAGTTGTAAGTTCTTTATGACATACATCCATACATAGAGACATAGAACCCATAGCTATGTATATATATATATAATATAGTCTCTATTGATATACAGCCATGATATATTAATATATTTATAAAACCATAGCAACCCATCCCATTAATATATTTATGACATATTCATATATATATATATAAGTGGGGATATGTCATTGATCTAAGTGTGGTAGGCAACACAAAATCTTGGCCTGGGATGCACCTTCTCACCTCAGCCCGTGGCCACCGATTTCAACGGTCCCTTTTTCACTTGCAGTGACGATTTGGCGAGCCGGCGATGAGGCAAAACGCTCCATTTGGATAGCTTAACTAGGTAACTTGAACCAGGAACCGGCTATTCATATGGAAATTAGCTAGGAGAGCTGGCTCATTGACCTCGTTCATGGATAGTTATTCCCCCAGTCATATGGCTATGGATCAATACCTATTAATACCATTTTTAGGGGAATGAACATCCATTTACCAGCTATTTTGATGTTCACCAGGGGTACAAGGTTTTGACACACTGCCATATGGTAAATTCATAGGTAAGTTGACTCATCGAGAAAAACTCCGCAGAACTCCGGAGTTCTGTCAACCTTCTTTCTGCATGATATTGACCTACAGATGTGTATATATATATATACATGTATGATCCACTGTATATACCTAATAGTGGACTATAAGTATATTAATATACATATCTATTATTGATATGCACATATATATATACATACATATCTACAGATTTATCATCATACCCTCCGGTAATCAAACATAGCAATTAACATTTACCAACGAAAATTCGATGGTTTTCCCAGCGAACAAAACCTCCATGGCTAGTTCAGGGATTTCCCAGCATGTTTGATGACACCGCAGGTTTTTTTCTAGATATTACCCTCTGGTAAACTAACATAACTATGGAAAATCACCATGCTATTGATGGTTAAATCAACTATAAATGGCAATTTTCAATAGCAAACTGTTAGTTTACCGGAGGGTAAATATGAAGGGTATGAAGCTGTCATACGGAGACACTAGATGAGTGTGACGCATCCCAAGGTTGATTAGATTCACCTGCCAAATTGGGGGAAAATCCCATCTGTTCATGGAGAAATATGCCAATACCCTCTGCTTATTTAACATAGCTATGGTATAGATGACCCATTTATAGATGATGTACCTATTAAAAGTGATGATTTTCCATGGCTATGTTAAATAACCAAAGGGTATATATATATATATATTATAAACGACATTTTTCGTTAATCTCGTTGATTAGATTCATGTGCTAATCCCCAGTAAAATCAGCAGAAAAATGATGTTTTTTGTTTCTACAGGGAAAAAACATGAACCGTCCTCACTTAGGGGTTTATGACATAATTAGACATAGGGTGAAACACATATCTCTTTGATTGGTATGATGTAAAATGACGCTCAAATGTTTGCCTACACGTTAGTTTGAACAGGGGGTTATAATTATAAC